GCGGTGGAGGAAGTCGGGCTCCACATCGAGCCGCATCGCCGATGCATCGGCGATGCGGTGCGACTCTCTGACCCCACCTACTCGGACCACCCTCTGGGATGCCTAGACAATAGCCTTTTCACTTCTTCTCGTGGTGGGATCATATCAGGGCGATGGTTTTTGTATTCTTTTTCCTCCCAAGGCCCTCACTGGGTCCCGGGTCCGTCAAGAAGCGGCTCGGGGTGAGAAACCGGTCCTGGGGAAGGGGTTCCGGACCTCTGGGGGTCGACCTTGTAAAAAAGTAACACTGTCGGAGATCTGCGAAGCTGCGAGCATACGCGGCTAGACTCACATGTGGAACGTCTGAAATCCGCGCTCCCGATACACGTGTGGAGTCCCACCGTGCCCGCCCATAGAAGGGCTGAACGCTGGAGAGACATCTGGCCAAATGTGTATCGACCTTTCGCCCAGGCCAGCCGTGTCATGTGTGTTTAGCTTCCTGGTATGCGCACGTGAACTCGCATGGGTTTCGAGAGATCGCATTGCGCGGCTGTTCGGGACGTGGGGGCGACCTCGCGAACTGGGGGGCATACTCGTGCACGTGGCCTGGCGCGTCCGTATTTGTTGGCGTACGTATTTGTTGGGCTCCCCAGTGGGAGTAACTCCGGCAGGTCAGCAAGAGAACGGCGCAAAGCGGGGGGAATGTCTTTCGCTTCTCTGCCCGTGGGTATCCGCTGGTACCGCAGTGGTGCTCTGTTGCAGGCCTGGAGTGCGGAGTGGAGCCGCCAGATCTTGAAGCGCAGGTGTCTCCAGCAAGACAGAAATTATAAGGTGGGACAGTACGTCTCCGGGAAAGGAGCTACATTATCTAGAATTATGTTGTTCCCATCTTACTTAAGGACCGCATCCCAGAAATAATTTCGAGCACCCGGAAAAATGTCAAAAGAGTATCGAAACAGTGTCGGGCGGGTGTCTCCCAGGACCCGACAGGTGAAAACCTCTGAGTTCGGTACTTTTTTGGGGCGCTCGAAATTATTCCTGGTGATCAAAGCTAAAGTAGGTTGGAACATCATAAATCTAGAACACAATCTGGTAGACCCGCTCCTGACGGGTGCTATTCTTTGCTTAACGTGCGTTCCCCGAGTAAGCTTGGCGTCGGAGGCAACTTTATTCAGAATGTGGTTTGGGCCAATTCGAACCTTCAGCAAGCGTCTCTGGTGTGTAGCCACCACCACGGAACATTTTCGCGTCCGAATTCCAAACGGGAATGGATGCATAGACGGCACGTGCTGTACACACACGGTTGCGATACAACTCCATCGCACTGTAGAGCCATGGCCCGCAAGCGCATCCATTTCGAGATCATACTTACGTAGCATCGCATTGCACGCCATAGCATTCCAATTGCATACCATCCGCACACCAGTGTCGTACTGTGCGGTACGGTGAAACCATAATAATCAAAACATCGCTTTCCGCAAGCAAGGCAATTGCGTATTCGCAGCGTAGCATTTACGTAAACATTGTCTCGCATATACTGACCACAGAGCTGCATGGGGAACTTGCTCCCGGATCGCGAAGAACCACATTGCATTCAGGGCCAAACAACCCTCTACTACGAAGCAAATGAAATCCCATCCAACAATCCTAGCTGGGGAATATGCTTGCAAGTACGCGGTGGCCACCGCACAACCTCGGCGGAAAACGATTTTATACAGCGGGTGTGTACGGCCTCGGCAAGTTATGTTGGGGCGGCGATCGGGAATGACTTTGCATGCGAGTTTGATAGGCTTCCCAGTCTCCCGAACAGGCGAAACTGGTGACTCCAGGGAAACCCAAGGGGTTGAACCTCCTGAGCCGAGACTGTCGAATCTGGTGCCAGCAGGTGTACGTGGCAATGTCTGTTAACCCTGTCATCCAAGCTGTTGCCATCTCTTGGGGGTGTCTTCCTTTTTCTTCTGCCGGCTTGCGCCGGCGGGGGCGGCTTCGTCTTACTTCCCCAGGCCTCCGCCGCCTTCCGCCGAGGAAGAGATGCCAACTCCCCTTGGATCCTCGAGGGCGAAGCCCTCTCTGGAACGCCATGTGTGTGTGTGTGTGTGTCGGGCTGGTCCCGTAGCCATCAGGCTCAAGCCGTATCTGGGATCCCCGGGCGCGACGGGTCGCCCAGACGCTGCGCTGTGCACCACGCGCGGAGCCCCCGCGCGCCGGCCCCGGGAACTTCCCTGGGACGCCACACGTGTGTTGGGCTGGCCGGAGCCACTGCCGATTTGCACCACGCTTCAATCGGCTACTTTTTAGTCAGCGGCCGCGGGCGAGCGCGCCGGCGGCGAGTCAGGTCAAAGCGGGCTACGCAGCGACGAATTAAGCGAAAGCAGCGGAGACAGGCCACGCCTAACGCAACTACAATCGGCTACGCGCAGGAGTGACTCCAGGCAAGAGTGACATTTGGTGCGCGGACCACGGGGGCGCAAGGTGGCCAAATCCAAGCGCGCAGGCAACCGCCATCGCATCGCGCTCAGCGCTCGGAGGGGCCCCGACGGGCCGGCACCAGAGGTCACTCCGGGGAAGGGCCACTCTTGCGTGCAATCGATATCGGTATGCTGCGGTCGGCACCTTCGGGGGAAAGCGCGCCAGTCTCCGCCGGCTCTGCTGCCCCAGGGGCGCCCACAGCCCGTGTGCTCCACGCCACAGAGATCCAACGTGCCGACAAAAGTCACGACACTCTTCGCAGTTCTCGGCAAATTTTCGCGGAGGCTCTTCGCATTTTTCGGCCTCCAGGGGCCCCCACTGGGCCCTTGGGAGCGTCAAAAAACGACTCCAGGGGAGAAGGTGGCCCTGGGGAAAGGTTCGAGAGGTCTGGGGACCCCGTACGGAACAAGTCACGACATCGGATCTCTGGGGCGGTGCGCATCGCCGGACGCCGCCAAGGTCGAGCTGCTCGACTCGAGCATTGGATCTGGCGCGCGGGTGTCCCGAGCAGCGCCACACAAAGCCACCACTGAGCAGATCGCCAAGGTCGAGCATCGGCTCCGGCGCGCAGGTGTCCCGAGCAGCGCCGAACAGAGTCACCCCTGAGCAGAGCCCCAAGGTCGAGCATCGGCTCCAGCGCGCAGGTGCCCCGAGCAGCGCCGAACAGAGTCACCCCTGAGCAAATCGCCAAGGTCGAGCATCGGCTCCGGCGCGCAGGTGCCCCGAGCAGCGCCACACAGAGTCACCCCTGAGCAAATCGCCAAGGTCGAGCATCGGCTCCGGCGCGCAGGTGCCCCGAGCAGCGCCATACAGAGTCACCCCTGAGCAAATCGCCAAGGTCGAGCATCGGCTCTGGCGCGCAGGTGCCCCGAGCAGCGCCACACAGAGTCACCCCTGAGCAAATCGCCAAGGTCGAGCATCGGCTCTGGCGCGCAGGTGCTCCGAGCAGCGCCGAACAGAGTCACCCCTGAGCAAATCGCCAAGGCCGAGCATCGGCTCCGGCGCGCAGGTGCCCCGAGCAGCGCCGAACAGAGTCACCCCTGAGCAGAGCCCCAAGGTCGAGCATCGGCTCCGGCGCGCAGGTGCCCCGGGCAGCGCCACACAGAGTCACCCCTGAGCAGAGCCCCAAGGTCGAGCATCGGCTCCGGCGCGCAGGTGCCCCGGGCAGCGCCGAACAGAGTCACCCCTGAGCAGAGCCCCAAGGTCGAGCATCGGCTCTGGCGTGCAGGGCGCAGGTGTCCCAAGCAGCGCCGAACAGAGTCACCCCCGAGCAACGCCCCCTGATGATGACCCTCCAGACGCTCCCAGAGCCACTCGGGCCGGCCAAAGCGTCCGAGCGCTTTGTCGAGCTCCTCGATCCTCCGCGCTCCCCGATCCTGGAGAGCCTCACGGGGAGGTGGCAGCCCCCTTGGCACTGCCCGAGTGTCGTCGGGTGTCGGAGGCCTGGAAGTGGGCACCAACACCAACACAGGAGGCTGCCTCCGCAGGGGGAAGAGGATCCTAGATTTCGGTGGTGGTAATATTTCGGCCACCCTGGAAGCCAGAGTATTACCACCCTCACCGAGATCTGGATTTTCTTCCCTTGGTGGAGGCACACCGCTTATGTTGGTGTTGGTGTCAACCTATGGGCCTGCGATGGTGCACCGAAGAAGGGGCCAGGAAGAGGGGGTGAACGCATGATGGCCCCAAGGCGTGCGCGCGAACGAAGGGGCGCCAGGGAACCCGTCCAAAAGAACAGATGGCCACGAAAGCTGGGAGACCTCGTGGCCCCGGCCATGACGTCCACACCCCCATAATCTCCACCTCCCTCTTGGCCGCCCTCGATTTCTGGCAAATCCTGGGGGAGGACACCCGTGAAATCCTCGTCGACCGTGGTTCAAAATGTAGGAATACTAAACCTAAGTGTCTACTAGCTGGGAGGCCTTGTGGCCCCGGCCATGATTTCCACACCCCCATAGTCTCCACCCCCCTCCTGGCCGCCCTCGATTTCTGGCACTGCCTGAGGGAGGACACCCGGAACATTCTCGTCGGCCGTGGCTCATCACGAAGGAGTGATGGACCTAGGCTTCGTATCGTTCGATGATGAGTCTCAACTCATTATCATATGGCGGAGTTGTTGATCCCCCTCCTCAGCTCTAGCGTCATCTCTCCATAGTGAAAGCCCACGCTCATGATTCCAACATGGCCGCCCTCGACCCCTGGCACTGCCCGAGGCGTTTCGGGCGGGCGGTCATGGGGGGTGACCTGCATGGGGGTTGGAGAACAGCCCCTGAAGGGGCACTTTAGGCCCCTCTTGGGACCCAAAACGTCGAACCGGCGGAAATCGGCAAGCTGGTGTGCATCCAACAGGAAATCGGAACCCACATCGGAGTCCGAAGTCGAATCGCTTCGGAATCGGAACCCGCATCGGAATCCGAAGTCGAATCTCGGACCGGGGGAATCGAAACGAGCCCTGTCCCTGGGGGAGAGGGGGCTGCGAGGCGTGACGCCGTCGCCACTCTCGAGGACCCCTGGCGCTGCCGGAGGTCTTGGGCTGGCCACGGGCTTCCCTGCGCCCGCCTCGCCGCCGGCGAGCCACGGCGCCAGGCCCGGAAGCTCCACGTGCGCGCCGCGCTGCTCCACGTGCGAGGCGGCGAAGCCCCCGGGGCCCTGCAGAGCGGGCGGCAGCGCCTCGCGGCGCAGGTCCTCCCGACACAGCCCAGACCTCCTCGCGCCGCGGAAAGAAAAACGCGACGGGAGGCGTTTCGCTACTTGCGGCCTCCGGGGGCCCTTGCCGGGCCTCGGGGCTGTCAAGGAACGACTCAGGATGAAGAGCCGGTCCCCGTGAAGGGGTCCAGACCTCTGGGGGTCGAGGCAGTGAAAAAGCACGACGTCGGGGGTCTGGGAGTGCCGCTGCTGCTGCTGCTGCCCATCCTCCTCAACGCCTCGCCGCCCCCTTCCCGCTCCCCCTCCTGCTGCTGCTGCTGCTGCCGCTCCTCCTCCTCCTCCTCCTCCTCCTCCTCCTCCTCCTCCTCCTCCTCCTCCTCCTCCTCGAGGGCGGTCTGGTTCCTGGGGTCCAAATCGACCCTCGGACCCATCCTGGGTGCGCCATGGCCAGAGTGCCGGGAGACCCGAAACGCTTGATGATCTGGGGAGCCCTGCGGCGAGAAGTCCGTGCACCAGCCTTTCGCGTCCCATCTGTAGACGCGCCCTCGAGCAGTTCGTGTGTTGTGCACGACTTTGACGAGCCGAATGCCCAGACACGTCTGACTGGGGCTGGGATGAATATGAATAAGAAGCCGAATCTGAAGATGAGCATGATGAAGATGATGAAGACGATGCTGATGGTGATGATTATGACGACGATAATGAACATGATGATTAATACGATGCCGATCATGATGAATAATATGATGATGATGAAGATGACGATGGTGATGATGATGGTGATGATAATGATACCGACGATGCTCATTATGATGATGATGGTGATATTGATGATGGCACTAATGCAGATGATGATGATGATGATGATGATGATGATGATGATGATGATGATGATGATGATGATGATACTGATGATGATGATGATGAGGATGATGCTGCTGATGATGATGCTGCTGCTGATGATGATGCTTCTGATGATGATGATGCTGCTGATGATGATAAAGGGCTGATGCTGCTGCTGCTGCTGCTGCTGCTGCTGATGATGATGATGATGATGATGATGATGATGATGACGACAACGACGACCACTATGCTGCTGCTGATGGTGGTGGTGATGATGAGGGGACGAGACGGATGCGGAGCAAGAGGTCTGCAGGCCTCGCGCGGCGGCGGCGCGGGGAGCTCGAAGGGCAGGGCGAAGTCGACCCCGTCCATCGGCCGTGCGAAATCGATGTCGCGTTGGCGCCGTGGCCGGGTGGCCGCCCCATGGGACAGAGGCGAGGGGGAAACGTCCAGGGGGGGGGAAGCGGCTCAGGGGGGAAGCGTCGAGCTGGACTCGGCGATGCATCGCCAGCACATCGGCGGCGGGCCCCCGACAGCTGGCGAAACCGCCCGGTTCTGGGCGGGGTGGGCCATCAGGCCCCACAGCGAGGATCAGTGGCCGATGAGGGGTCGACGCGCTGATCTGAGCCTAATATTCCCCCTCCCCAGAATCGAACGAGCGTTAAGCAATCCGTGCGCACAAATCTGTCAACTGACGTGTACGACCAATCGAACTCGAAACGTGTGTTTCTTATTATTGTATTAGTTCGCAAACTTTACATCTCTCTGTCCCTCGCATCGTTTCAAGTCGCAATTCTCGACATGGATACTCAATTCCCAACATCAAACTCATTGCCCCGGAGGAGGGCCCAAGAGCAAGCACAGTCACGACTGTCCAAAAGGCATCCTGGGCATCGTGGCCGGTTTCTGGCCGCTGTCTGGGCCGCCGCGGAGGCCCTGGACCGCAGAAGGCCGACCTCTCTGGCCCTTGCCTGGGCCGCTGCGGCTGCCCCGGGCCGCAGAAGGCCGACTTCTCTTGATGGGCACCCTCTGCTTCCGCCGGCGGGCCTCGGCACTGCGGCGGCGGAGCCGCCCCCGCTCTGCCTCCCGCCGCCCCTGCGCCAGGCTCCGCCGAGGAGGAGTCCACCCTAGGATCCCTCGAAGGCGAGGCCCTCAGGGTTAGACAGGGGATGTCCCCCTGCAGGGGGGTTGTGGACGAAGAATAAAAAAGATTCAAGCTATGCCACAAAAATCAAAACATACAAGACAAAACCGTCCACAGACTTCCCCCCCCCAAGAAAAACACAAAAGGGACAGGCCCGACTTCACCTCCGATGGGGATCGGCTCAGGGGCGGAAGCGTCGAGCCCGCGTCGGCGATGCGTCGCCGAGGGTTCGGCGATAAAGGCCGCCGACGGCAACTTGCGCACGGCCCTGGGAGGGGGCGGGCTAGCAGGCCCCTGTCCGTGCTGAGTGGGCGATGCGGGGCCGATGGATTTCCCCCTCTCATAGGAGACCGATTTCTGACCACACCCACTTTCCGAGGTGCCTTGCGAGAAGCGGTTTCCAGAGGTGGAGGTGGGCAGTTTCCCCGCCCCAGGGGAAGGAACAACTACCCACTTCCATCCCCGAGGGCCTATCATAGAATCGAGGATCCAGAGGTGGATGTGGTCAGAAATCGGTCCACCATCTCAGCCCGTCCCCCCCTAGCGCTGCCCTTGAGGGGGCCCCGAGAACCGCCAGCCCAAAACCGTCCAGAGACATCCCGAGCATCGTGGCTGTCTTTTCTGGCCGTGCCTGGGCCGCGCCGGAAGCCCTGGACCAACATAGTCCGACACCTCTTGATGAGGCACCGTTTGCTTCTGGCGCTGGCGGAAGCGCCTCCGTTCTGCTTCCCGCCGCCCTTGCGTCAGCTTGCAAGGAAGAGCAGTCGGCCTCTGGATCTTTGAAAGAGCGTGTTCTACCGCTGCTGGCGGAAAACCGGGGGGGGTCACTACCGGTTCGAACCCCTCCCCCCCCCCCCTCTCCGGAAAACCGGGGGGGGTCACTACCGGTTCGAACCCCTCCCCCCCCCCAGCTCATCATGAAAAGGGGGGGGGGGTCACTACCGGTTCGAACCCCTCCCCCCCCCCCCCCATCGAAAACGGGGGGGGTCACTACCGGTTCGAACCCCCCCCCCCCTCGAAAACCGAGTGGGGGTGCGGACAGTGGTGGGGACGGTGTTGGTGGGGACAGTGGTGAGGGGATAGCGGGACAGTGGTGGGGACAGTGGGACAGTGGGACAGTGGTGGGGACGGTAGTGGTGGGGACAGTGGTGGGGACAATGGTGGGAACAGGGGGGGACAGTGGACAGTGGTGGTGACGGTGGTGGTGGGGACAGTGGTGTGGGGACAATGGGAATGAGGTGGAAACAGTGGGACAGTGGAGGGTACAATGGTGGTGGGGACAGTGGTGAAGGCGGTGGCGAGGACGGCGGTGGGACAATGGGACAGAGGTACAGTGGGGACAGTGGTGGGGACAGTGGGGACAGTGGTGGGAACAGTGGGACAGCTCAGTGGGACAGCGGAGGAGTCAGTGGGACAGTGGGGACAGTGGGGATAGTCGGGCAGTGGTTGGGGCCGTGGAGACAGTGGGGAGAGTGGAACCGTGGTGGGAACAGTTCTGGGGACAGCGGGGACAGTGCGACAGTGGTGGGGGCACTGGTGGGGACAGTAGGGGCGGTGGTGGAACCAGTGGGGACAGCGGTGGTGAGGACAGTGGTGCTGGGAACACCAGTGGGGGATGTGATGCGGACGGTGGTGGGGACCGGGAGTCGTTTGCTGGCGGTGAGTAGGGGGGGGGGGGGGGGGTCGAACCGGTAGTGACCCCCTCCGGTTTTCCGGATCCGGAGGGTAAGGGGGGGGGGGGAAGGGTTCGAACCGGTAATGACCCCTTCCGGTTTTTCCGGATCCGGAGGGGGGGGGGGGGAAGGGTTCGAACCGGTAGTGACCCCCCTCGGTTTTCGAGCGGGAGGGGGGGGGGGGGGGGTTTGGGGAGGGGGGGTTTTGCCGGGGGAGAGGGGGGGGGGGAGGGGTTCCAGCAGGGGGGGGGGGATTTTCGGAGGGGGGGGGGGGGGGCGACCCCCGGGTTCCGGAGGAAAAGGTTGGCAATTTTCCACAGGAAAGCGGCGGTGGATCACGCTCTCTCGGATCTTTCGAACCCAGACCTCTGACGTGGCGCTTTTTTTCGCAATGTGGACCCCCGGAAGTGTAGACCCCTTCCCATGGACCAGCTTTTCGTCCCGAGCCGTTTTTTGACCTCCCCGGGGCCCGTCGAGGGCCCTCAAGGGCCGAGAATCGCCCAGGCCACCCGCCGCATCCGTTTTTTCCCCAGCACGCCTGTGTTGGCCTCCCGTCTTGAATGGAGCACTATGGTCTCCCTCCTCCTCCTCCTCCTCCTCCTCCTCCTCCTCCTCCTCCTCAATCCCTTCTCCTTACAGACAACAAGTAGATCCACCCTGTCGCACCCCCAGACGTGTCGGGAGGGCGGGCCAGGCGTTTCGTCTCAGACTTCCTTACCATTTATGGTCTTGAAGCTCGAAGTTTGCAACAATTTCAAGGATGGAGGGCGGGTCGCTTTCAAAATGGGGCTCTCGCGTTAGCCGCGTACATTCGTTCTTACAAGGGTGCAACAATTGCAAATCTGGAGGACCGCCCGCTTTTCTTAGAAGCTTGCGGCAGTTTACAGGATGGAAGGTGGTTCCTTTTCAAACTGTGGCTCTCACCCGAGCGCCGCGCACGTTCCTCGCAAAAGCTTCCAACACATTCAAGGATTCGTATGGTTGAAGTCCCACTAATGGTGTTCCAGCGCGGTTATGATTGCCAGGACGCAGCAGTTACGATGATTCGCAGGTGTTGAAATCTCAAGAACCGTGTTCTGGAGCGATTGAATATTCTCAAGTGGTTGTCTTCCAATGATGTGCTTTCCGCAATGAGCGTACATTCTTATAGGGACATACGAAGAGGGGGCTTGGGAGGGTTGAGTGCAACATCGTTGATGCGTCTGGGGTGGCACTGATCTTCCTCCTTCTCCTTCTCCTCCTCCTCCTCCTCCTCCTCCTCTTTCCCTCCTACCTCCTGCATCTTGCTTTATTCCCAGCCCTCCTTCTGGTTGGACTCTCCTTTTGAAAGGCACTGCGGTCGCTTCCCCTCCTCTTCTTCCTTCTCCTCCTCCTCCTCCTCCTCCTCCTCCTCCTCCTCCTTTTCTTTCTCCTCCTCCTCCTCCTCTCCTGCTGCTCCCTGCGAACTGCACTGTCTATTTCCGTGCTCTCCCCGGAGGTCCAGCGGCGCCGGTGGCCACGCGAGACCTCGCGGCTCCCCAGGGAGGCTGCGAACTCCGCAGCTGTCGCCACTTTCGTGGGCTCCCTGGGAGGCTGCCAGCTGCGCAGCTCTCGCCACTCTCGTGGGTTCCTGGGGGGTCCAGCGGCGGTGGTAGCCAGGGGAGACCTCGCAGCTCCCTGGGAGGCTGCGAACTCCGCAACGGTCGCCACTTTCGTGGGCTCCTGGGAGGTCTAGCGGAGACGGTAGTCAGGCGAGACCTTGCTGCTTCCTGGGAGGCTTCCAACTGCGCAACTGTCGCCACTGTCGTAGGCCCCTGGGAGGTCGAGCGGAGGCGGTAGTCAGGCGAGACCTCGCGGCTTCCTGGGAGGCTGCCAACTGCGCAACTGTCGCGACTGTCGTAGGTCCCTGGGAGGTCGAGCGGAGGCGGTAGTCAGGCGAGACCTCGCGGCTCCCTGGGAGCTGGATGGCTGCCAACTGCGCAGCTGTCGCCACTTTCGTGGGCTCCTGGGAGGTGCAGTGGAGTAGTTTGCCACGCAGATCCAAGCGTTCAGACAAGGTTGGGTACGCCTTGGGTAATTGTCACGACGCGAGGAGGTCTGGGACGGCGAGGCCCTGTCTGTACTCCCGCCCTGTCTGGAGCGACCCACTCCAAAAACTACCGTGCGACGTGCCCAACCCATCTGCGACGAGTGACCATGACACCTGGCATAGCTAACACCGATGACGCATGGTTAGGAGGAGACTTTCTAGCCAGCGTGGACTCCAAGCAGCAAGCAGTTGCACTGTGGATGTGCGAGCCGTGCGGCGTGAGCTGTGCTGTGCAGTGTACGTGGTGCAGGCTGGAGGCGGCCACAGGCGGCAACGGGCCAAGAACATGGGCGAATCCTCGAGGCACCACCACGGACGGACGGCAACGGGCGGCCACCGGCTGGAACGTGGCGCGTCCTCGGGGCACTCTCACGAGCGGCACCGGCTGGCAACGGGCCGGAACGTGGCGGCAATAGGCCGGAACGCGGCGAATCCTCAGGGAACCCGCCCAATTCTGCAGCTCACTGGGGCGCTCGAGCGTTGCACGACTCACGGGAGAGGAGCGCTGGACGCCGCTACTCTGGGCCTCCGAAGCCACGGGCCCGATTCGGCTCCAGGCCCGTTTCGGCTTCGGCGCGTTCCGGCTCGGCGCGTTTCGGCTCGGCGCGATTCGGCTCCTCCCGGTTCGGCTTCGGGGCGTTTCGGCTTCGGCCCGGTTCGGCTCCGCCCTTTTCGGCTTCGGCCCGTTTCGGCTTCCCAGCCTGGGTGCGAACGCGAACCTGAAAGCCGAAACGGGCCGAAGCCGAGATGGGCCAGGACGAAACGCGCCGAAGCCGAAACGAGCGGATGAGGCTGACACGGGCTGGAGCCGAAACGAGATTCGGGAGCCTCAGCGGGGCTCGGGCCCCTGTGGAGGAGGAGGTGCCCTTCACCATCACTCTCATCCTGGCTCCCACTCCCTGTAAACATGAGCCTAACCGGCGTCTGCGGAAGAGCCGAATGAAAGAGGAGTAGGAGGAGCAGGAGGAGGAGGAGGGGGAGGAGGAGGAGGAGGAGGAGGAGGAGGAGGAGGAGGTGGAGGGCGCGGGACATCATGCCGAGGAGAGGCCGGCGAGTGCCAGCGGCGGCCTCCCGAGCGCACGAGGCGCCCACGAGCCGCCCACTGGCGGGCGCCAGAGTGGAGCTCGTCCCCCGCCCCCGCCTCCCTGTCGCACAATGCCCCCGCGAGGCGCCCCCACGAGCTGGGACCGGGCGATACATGCGCAGACCGACCCAACGCACGATGGACCCCCCCCAGGCATGCACGAGGCAAAACCTCGGCATCCACACAGACAGACAGACACACACACAAACACTCTCGCACGCACACGCAAACACACAAACACAGCGCACGAGGCGCCCACGGGCGAGTGCCATGCAAAACCTCCCCCCGCCCACCCAACACGAGGCGCCCACGGGCGCCACCAGCTGGGCACAGGCCGAAAACCCTGCCCACCCAACGACGCACCTGAATTAATACAAGCAAAAGCCCCTGAGTTGAAACACTGTGTTGGGGCCAAAGCGTTAAGAAAGACTGCAACAAGGTTTCCGCGATAGCACTACCAAATGTTATACAACAACAAGATACGTGTAAAAGAATTGACGCTCTGTCTATGCTGGGGCCAACGCCGGCCAATCCTTCAGGCAGAGAGATGCGCGCCAGAAGCCAGCCGGCGCGTTCGGACAGAACTTCCTGGCAGCAATGCTGGCAGCGGGACCATCGCCGCACGAGAGCTTCCTGGTGACATCCTTGGCAGTGGGACGAGCTCCACCATGTGAACAGGCACGGTCAGAATGGGCTTCCTGCTGGCAACCCTGCCTGCCTGCACGCTTGGCGTGCGCGCCTTGGCCGCAAAGCTGGCAGTGTGAAGTGCAGTGGAAACAAACCGACGCGCTGACAAAGCTCACGGAAGGGGCAGTGAAATTACTCGGCGCGGAAATCCCGATATGTGCACCTTATTTGCCTGGCACGTCTCGCTGTTAGTGTCTGGCTGGAACTTTTGTCTGGCTGTATCCGCCTGCGCCAATCCCCGTAGTGCTAGCTCTGAGGCCAGTAGTAGTGAACGCGCAACGCTTCCTTCCTTCTTCCCGTTCCTCGTCCTTCCTTCTCATCCTCCGATTTCCTCTCTCCTCCTCCTTCCCCCTCCTCCTCCTCCTCCTCCTCCTCCTCCTCCTCCTCCTCACTTCTCTGTGCAGGCACTCCAAGCGGTTTCCCTATGGGGTTGTGAAACCAGCGCCTCGCCAGAGACATCCTGGGGGTGATGACGAAAGTGGTGGCAGTTGCGCAGTTCGCAGCCCCCCGAGGAGCTGCGATGCCTCGCCTGGATCCGTGTAGGACACCACAACGCCGTGCCTCCCAGGAGCACGCCAAAGTGGCGACAAATGCGCAATTCGCAGCCCGCCATGGGGGGCGCGAGGTCTCGCCTGGATCTGCGTGGCCCTGCGCTCCGCCGTGCCTCCCAAGAGCCCACGAAAGTAGCGACAATTGTGCAGACCGCAGCTCCCCAGGGAGCCGCGAGGTCTCGCCTGGACACCAGCGCCCGACGGAGCGCACAGGATGCAGGAGGTAGGAGGCGACGAAGGGGGAGGAGGAGGAGGAGGAGGAGGAGGAGGAGGAGGAGGAGAAGGAGGAGGAGGAGGACGAGGAGGAAGAGGAGGAGAAGGAGGAGGAGGAGGAGGACCAGTGTAAACCCAAGAGTCATCAACGATGTTGGAGTAAACCCTCCCTCCAAGCTCCCTCTTTATAGGCCCCATACAACGGTTCATTTTCATTGATGGAACTGCCTCGTTGGAAAACACCCGCTTGAAGACCCGGAAGCATGCCAAAACATTGTTCTCCGGATTCCAACGCCACGGATCAACCTTACTAATGCGTCTTGACGATCCTGAATCGTGCCAGAACGCCATTCCTAGAATTTCAACACAGAGAATCAACGTAACTGTTGCGCCCGCCTAATCCAGAATCCTTCCAAAACATCATGTCTGGTACGTTGATGATGTGAGTCCGTGAAACTTCGGCACATTTTTAAACGAATGTGCGCCGCGCTAAGGCGAGAACCACGCAAATTTTCTAAAAAGAATGTGCACGGCGCTAAGGCGAGAGCCACATGCTGAAAACCACCCGCCTTCAATCCATGAAACTCTTGTAAATTTATAAAACGAATGTGCGCGGCGCTGAGGCAAGAACCACATTTTGAAAAGCACTCGCCCTCAATCCGTGAACCTCGTGCAAATTTTTAACAAGAATGTGCGCCGTGCGAAGGCGAGAGCCACATTCATTCTGAAAACCACCCGCCCTCAATCCGTGAAACTCTTGCAAATTTAAGAAACGAATCTGCGCGGCGCTAAGGCGAGAGCAACATTCATTCTGAAAACCACCCGCCCTCAATCCGTGAAGCTTTTTTGCAACGAATGTGCGCCGCGCTAAAGCGAGAGACTCATTTTGAAAACCACCCGCCCTCAATCCGTAGAACTTTTGGCACTTTTATAAGCGTCAGAATCATGCATGGTGAGGAAATCTCAGGCGAAACGCCCGGCACGCTCTAAAAACTGGCCTCGGGGTACGACAGGGGGAAATATCTGTAAGGAAAAGGAATGTAGGAGGAGGAGGAGGAGGAGGAGGAGGAGGAGGGCGACCCGCGAGAAAGTCTCTGTTCAAAACGAGAACGGAAAACGGGAGGGTTGAGGAAAAGCTGCCCCAGCTCCGACCCCTAACGAGCGGCCAACCGGCCACGACACTGGCGCAACGCCTCCGGCATCAGCTCGGGGCCGGCCGGGCACTCCGCGGGCAGCAGGCCCCCTGAGGCCCCGTGGCAGCCCAGCGCCCCGCCCAGCCGCCCGAGCTCCTCTGGTGTCCGGCGGGCCGCACCCCCGACGATGATGATGCTGCTGATGATGGTGGTGGTGGTGATGATGGTGGTGATGACGATGGTGATGATGGTGATGATGGTGGTGGTGGTGGTGATGATGGTGATGATGATGGCAATGAAACCGATACTGATGCTGCTGATGATGAAAACAATGATGCTGATGATGGCGATGCTGCTGCTGATGATGATGCGGATGATGATGTTGCTGGCGCTGATGCCGCGGCTGATAATGATAGTGATGATTACGTATGCGTGTCACGATCATAATGAGAATGATGATGCTGCTGATGATGATGATGATGGTGATGGTGATGGTGGTGTTGGTGGTGGTGGTGATGCTGGTGGTGGTGCTGCTGCTGCTGAGGAGGAAGAGGAGGAGGAAGAGAAGGAGGAGGAGAAGGAGGAGGTTGGAACGTCATAGGAGGGACAAGTCGTGTCCTCATCACCGCCGCCGTGGCCGCCGTCGACGAGTACCGCCAAGGGGCAACTCGACAGCCTGCAAGGCAACTCGAACTAACTATATCAAGACTGCCGAACAGAACGGGATCGAACGGGCCTTACTCTCTTGATGGGCCATGTGCATCAACAGAGCGGTACGTACTAAAGGTTTGGGGTTGGGGGTGGATCACGCCAGAACGAGGAGGAGGTCCAACAAAGGGAAAGCAGGAAGATAATGCTTGAGATGTCTGCAAGCAAGCATGTAAATAGGCGAGCAATGACAAACGAAATGTTTCAAGGAATCGCGCTCCCAAGGACACCCCCAGACGCAGCCCCTGTACGGGTTACGCATCCTCGACTCGGCGATCTAACCCCCTCGCCAATTTTTGATGCAAGTACTGCGCCAAGATGGCGGGACCCGATGCATCACCGAGACGACGACCGACCAATCAAACACGGCTGCGTCGGCCTCGTGGACCCCAAACCACCGGTAAATGCGGGAGGCACGGCGATGCTGCACGCGGGGTGGGGGGAGTGGAGGAGGGGGAGGATCGAGGAGGGGAGAGGAGAGATGAAGAGGAGGAGGAAGAGGAGGAGGAGCAGGAGGAGGAGGAGGAGGAGCTCGACGAGGAGCGGGAGGAGAGATGATCATGATGATTATGATGATGATGGTGATGATGCTGATGCTGATGGTACTGATGATGATGGTGATGATGATGCTGCTGATGATGCTGCTGATGAAGCTGATGATGATGCAGGTGATGATGCTGATGCTGACAATGATGGTGATGCTGCTGCTGATGATGATGATGATGAAGATGCTGATGATGATGCTGATGCTGCTGCTGATGATGATGATGATGGTGCTGCTGCTGATGATGATGCTGCTGATAATGCTGATGAGGAGGATGAGGATGAGGATGAGGATGATGATGATGATGACGCAGATGATGATTATGATGATGATGATGATGCTGCTGATGATGATGACAATGCTTATGATGAAGGTGATGGTGTTGATGCTGATGCTGATGCTGATGCTGATGCTGCTGCTGCTGCTGCTGATGATGATGATGATGATGATGATGATGATGCTGATACTGCTTGTGATGATGCTGGTGATGATGACGATGATGCTGATGCAGATGATGAGTCTGATGATGATGCTGATGATGATGATGATGATGCTGATGATGATTATGATGCTGATGATGCTGATGCTGATGCTGATGACGAGGAGGAGGAGGAGGAGGAGGAGGAGGAGGAGGAGGAGGAGGAGGAGGAGGAGGAGGAGGAGGATGAGGAGGAGGAGGAGGATCGCCCCCGACAGCCAACCTTGGGAGGGGCAGCCCCCTCGCCCAGACCGCGGCGTGCGCAGCGCGTGAGGGCCGATCGGCAGAGGGAGGAGCAGAGGATGGCCTGCGGCCGCAGGCGCGGCGCCCGCGCCCTTTGTCGCCCTCAGCTGCGGCGGGGGGCGGCGCGACTTCCCTCCCGGAAGGGCGGGACGCCCACCGCGACCACCAGCATGCAGGGCGTGCCCCTGGCCCAGGGTGCCCCCAGGACTTCCAAGGCCCCTGCGGCCTTTATAGCGCACCCCTCACGAAGCCCAGAGCGCCCCAAGGGCTGCAAACTTGGTCGAACGGCCGGAGGAGGAGGCGGAGGAGGAGGAGGAGGAGGAGTAGGAGGAGGAGGAGGAGGAGGAGGAGGAGGAGGAGGAGGAGGAGGAGGAGGAGGAGGAGGAGGAGGAGGAGGAGGAGGAGGAGGAGGAGGAGGAGGAGGAGGAGGAGGAGGAGGAGGAGGAGGAGGGAGGAGGAGGAGGAGGAGGAGGAGGGAGGAGGGGCGGAGGGGGCGGAGGGGGCGGAGGGGAGGGAGGAGGAGGAGGAGGAGGGAGGAGGAGGAGGAGAGGAGGAGCAGGAGGAGGAGGAGGAGGAGGAGGAGGAGGAGGAGGAGGAGGAGGAGGAGGAGGAGGAGGGGAGGGTGAGGAGGAGGAGGAGGGAGGAGGAGGAGAGGAGGAGGGAGGAGGAGGAGGCGGAGGAGAAGGAGGAGGACCCGAGCGAGGCTTAGGAGCGGCTCCGAGCCCAGCGGGGCGAGAGAGCTCCTGGCGGGCTGGCGCGCCGAGGGGCCGCCCGCGGGGCCCGCGCGGCCGTGGGCCTGCGGGGCCGTCGCCTGCGGCCGAGGCGGTCCGCTCGAGGGCGGTCGCGGAGGCGGGCGGCCTGCGCCGCGAGGACCGCGGCGAGCTGGCGGTCCAGCGGCCTCGCCGCTCGACGCAGGGCCGGCGCCTCCGATGCCCAGCACGGCAGCGGAGTCCTAAATCGGGCGTGCCCCCCTTTCGGGAGCGATCTATTCGAGAATGGTACAACAAATAGTCTGGGGACGATGTCGCCGCACGCAT